GGTTATGCATCTCCAAACCAAATATCAGTTCTGCCAAACCTTATTCTGATTACTACTAATCCAAACATTACAATATAACACATGGCAGAAGAAAGCAATAGTGGATATGAAGCCTATGACAAGATACTTCCTGCTTAATGGAAACTATAATTTTCTGTTTTTTAAAATTCCTAAAGAAACCCAATAAACATGGCCTTGTTAGTCAATATTATAAAACACTTCTATACATTGTTTTGTAAATTTCCAAGAAATCTCTGAAAAGAAAAATGGAAAACCAGGGATAACTTGCTGTGCAAAAATTTCTTGTCATTGTACTCCTTATTTTGCCAGATTATTTTTAGGATTTCCTTCCTAGAATGTAACTTTACATTCTAGTGGCCAATATATTTTATTTTATTTATTTATTTATGAGACTTATATACCGCTTTAAGTGCAAGCACTCTCTAAGCGGTGTACACCAGTAAGCAATGTATATATATTTTACATTGCCCCCAACAATCTGGGTCCTCATTTTACCTACCCCGGAAGTATGGAAGGCTGAGTCAACCTTGAGCCGGTGAGATTTGAACCGCTGACCTGCTGAACACAGTCAGCTAAAGTGGCCTGCAGTACTGCACTCTAACTGCTGCGCCAATGTTTTTTTGTTTGAGATGACAAATAGGAAAGTTACTATATCTCTGTGGTTTATAAAAATATTTACTTTACATAATTGAATTATTCATAACATTTTGACAATTTTATTTAATCATTTGCATGTGAGATGGGACATAAGCATCTTGTTTTATTGTCAATATTTTATCTTAGGCATATTCATACAAATTTGTATACATAAATATAAAATACAATTACTCTTAAAACAGTATTTAAAACCAGATGTTTAAAATATAAGCATTATTACATTTAATTTATGTTGATATGACTGTTTTGATCAGCAATTATAGGTCCAGTATATCATTCCATATGAAACTAAGATCTTCAGGTATGCAATTTATGTACTTAGGAAGGCAACCCAAAATTTAATCTAAAAACCTCACAACAAGTTTTTCTATCCCTTATCATAATATTGTTTATTTAGCTTTATAATTTTTATATCACCCCAGTCTTATGACTGTAAGTAGTGCACAAGAATTAACCTCTAAAGAATCATATAAATAAAAAGAACTGGAACAAACCAAATCAAATCTCTGTTACCCTAACAATTTAACAATACAGTATAATGTTGCACATTTGTTGGCTCCATCAAAACTAAAATCAATCAAACAAGTATAAAGCATAATAGTGGCAGCTGGGAGATTTATTTTGGATTTGACCAAAGTTCTGTTTCTAGCTTACCGGAGCTAGGAAGCAAAAAACAAGGAATGGGCTTGTGATTTCCTTGTTTTAAAGAAAAAGCAATTTTTAACAGAATGAAAAGAATAAGACCCTGTGAACTGTAGAATAACATCACCATGTTCCAGTCCTCAAATAGTCTCTGTAGGGGGGTGTTAAAAATCTATCACTGATATTGATTAACCTGGCTTGGAAAAACATCCTTTAAAATTAGCCTTTGAATGGCTTCATTTTATTTTATTAAACAGTAGATGTGTGATAGTTGAACCTGCAAGACCCAAAACGTCACCTGACTCCACCAGTCCCAGGAAACATAAAAGAAGCTCAGTTCTGGCTATAGGAGTACAGTATCACCAGGATATCAACTATAGAAAATGGTCCATTTCAAAATGTTGGTTTATGGCCGGGGTATCAAACTCACAACGTCACATGATATGTCATGACATATTGAAACTTTTTTCCATTGCCGGCAATGGGGTGGGCGCAGTTTTGGCATGATGCATCCGCCCCGCGGACTGGCAGTTTGACACCCCTGGTTTATGGCATCTTTATTATCTGAGTTATAATCACTATGGGGTGAAGACATTGTTGTGTCGCAACTTTTTCCCCCTTGCCAGAGCTGGGGTGGTTGTGGCTTCCGTGTGATGCATCCAGCCTGCGGGCCAGCAGCTTGATACCCCTGTTCTAGTAGATTAAAGAAGAATGGCAAGCACCATGAAGCATATGATATGTGTATGAGTAAAAGTGTAGTTCTATAATGCATATAGTAAAAGTGCTGTAGCAATTTGGGGTAGGAGAATGAAACAGCTGGGTGGTTTAGACTAGTCTGAAATTATATTTTTGTTGATTTCAGAAAAGCTTCATATTACATTTCTCGCTTCAGTAGGAAACAAATCAATCCCATTATATGGCCATCTCAGATTTGATACCACAAAAATGAATCAATGTAAGAAAGTAAATACTTCAAAATGTTTACTGCTGATACTAGAGATCTATACTCTTTTCTATGTCAGTTTGTGAAGGACTGTTTATCAATGTAGTGCATCTGGGCCAGATTAGTTATTGAACATTTATTATCCCAGACTGGAAACAGCCAGAACAATTTTCACTGCACTTGAACACAAATGGAGTCTTCCCCTTAAGCAATTTTTTGACTACAGGTAGTCTTTGCTTAACTACCACAACTGGAATTGGCATGTCCTTTGCTAAGCAATACAGTAATTAAGCAAGACATCGCATGATAGCAATGGGCTTACCTAATTTCTACCGTGTTCATTAAATGAATTAGCTGGGTTCATTAAGTGAGCCAACACATGATTACAACCTGCAATTTTACTGCCAGCTTCTCCAGTGACTCTTGTTATTGGAAACTAGCTGTCAAGTGTGCCAATGGTGATAATGTGATTGCAGGATGCTATGATGGTTGTAAACACCTGTCAGTTTTACAAAGCACCTGAATCTCAGTCATGCACTGGGGGGACACCGCAACAGTGGCAAGTGCAAGGACCAGTTGAAAAGTTACTTTTCCAGCAGTATCATCACTTCAGTCTCTAAAATTGGGCATTTTTAAAGCAAGAACTACCTGTACCTATAATTCCCATGATGTTCTAACTTTAGTCAAAAAAATGACATACATTCAGTATAAACATTTAATGTTTCTACTCACAAAGAGGAAATCATATAATGATATCACAGTGGCAATATTATTTAGCCTTCCAAAATAGCCGTTGTCTGATATTGTTTTGCCTTTATTTAATAATAATTCTTGAGTCTTCAATTTTTCCCTATGGAAGTTAACTCATTTACCCTCCTCTGGATCCGTAAAAGTATGGTGCCCAGAGTTGGGCAAAATATTTTTTAAAAAAGTCTGACCAAAGCAGAATAAAATGGAACTTTTACTTTCTATCAACTGGAAACTATGGGTCAGACCATCGCTTAAGTCTACTCTGTACTGTAAAAGGCAATTCAGCTGGCTCTGGAGATTGAAACCTTTTCAGAGCGAAAGAGTGTGTCTCTTCCTCCTTTGCCATTTCCTAGAACCCATACCTCTTTGTTGAAAACTGCATCAAGCCTAGTCTTTTCTTTCAAGCCTACTCTTTTTGTAGTTTGCTTCTTCATTGAGAAGATACCATACCAATTCTTATCTTTTCCTTCAACGTAGCAAAAAGAAGCCCCCTTTTTTAAGAATATTGTACTTCACCAATCTGTACTCATTTGAACAGTGCTGGGCAAACTGTCCATATTCTTCTTTGATGACATGAACTATTTTCAATCTTCTTTATGCATTTTCTATGACTTTCAGATTTCTAATTCTTCATTAAGCTTTTTGTGTCGCTTAATCAGCAGGCCTCCATATGGAATTGTTTGTAATTGCCCCTTTGGTATCTTCTTATTTAAGAATTCCCAAAATCCTGTGTTCCTTTCCCTACAAGTGGCTCATGACTTGGAATGAGTACTGCTGATCTAGGAAAAACCTGGTTCAACTTTATGTTCAGCCCTGACAAAGTTCTTGTTGGGAAAAGTGGAGGAAGAAATACTGCACATGCAGTACTTACCTTGAGTTCTTGGAGAAAAGCTAGGATATACAGTATATCTAACAGATACTGTAAGTCTGGTTATCATTGTTCATTAAAACCCATGTTTAAAAGATTATGTGTTGACTGTGCTCAGATTCAGTTTTATTTAAAATAAATAACCAACACATCTTTTTTTCACTTTTTTTCTCATGTGCATAGTCACTTCCCCTACTATTCCTACTCTACTCTTCAACTAAGTCTTCCCCATTGGCTTATATCAAATCAAGAATAGCAGCTACTTCTTCATTATCTCAGAAAGAAAGTTATCAGCAAGACAGTTCAGGAATTCTTGAAAGGAACATATTTGCTAAAGTTTATTTCTCATTAGAAATGGGAGAAAGAAGGCATTCTCCATAAGTCTATATGTTCTGTGTTCTTCTCTTATTGATGCCCTAAGTCTACACTCAGAGCTTTTTGGCAAAAGATTTAATGGGGAAACATGAGCTATAATAGAATACTATGCGCACAAGGATTTTAGGGAACAGTTTTATTCTTCTGCTTCAAAGAGAATGTTGTTATGGTAATTCTATTCAGACTGAAAGGAACCGTACTGCCAAGGTCCAGTAATTCAAAAATAGCCTATTATCACATTTGTCTAATGCAGCTGGTATGATATTGACTAATCCAATTTTCTAACTAATATTGGTCATATGCAATTAAAGGGAAGCATATAATTTTAAGCATCTATTAATAAAATACTTTTTTAAGAGGCAAGATGAAGAGAACTGTTTTTCTTTTTCAAATTATTTATTTAATTTTCACTTTCGTAATAAACTACTCTATTTAGTGAACTCATTATCAGAGGTGAGGTAGTTATCTGAAGAACAATGAATAATATATTTCAAAATTGTTAAACACTGCACAACAAATATCTATAATAAAAACTTGTAACTGTATTTCAGTATATAGTTTCATCCAAGATCAAATTAATGTGATAACTAATTCAAATCTTACAAAAGTTATTTTAGAACACTAAAAGTTTTATGTTGAATGATCATAATTCAGAAATCACACAAACATCTTACAGAGTTTAATGCAGGTATTTATTTAACTCACAAGTTTTCTATTAACTACACGTTTTGATTATTATTTTTCTATAGTTAAAAGAAAAACCTGAAGCAAGTTGAATACAGTTTATTTCTTTCAAATAAATATGCATCATTTAGCTCTCAGTAAGTTTTAGTAAGCGTTACTTCAGAACATACAGGTATTAATTTGTGATATCACATAAATAACTTTAGTTAAACAACTAAGTCTCTCATTCATATCTACTAAATATATTTTTATTTATTTAGGTCTAGCTGTTTTTAGGTCATAGAACTAATTTTACAGATCTGACTTGTGGAATTATTAATCAAAAAAGTGAACATTTTGGAGACAATTTTTAGGTAGAAAGAAGTTATCTACTAAGTTTATAGAATTTGCCGCAGCTGGAAAGGTGAAAAGAATTAAATATTATGGAAATGTTGACTGGAGTTTAATTTCTTTGTTGCCTCTGACAATTTTAATTTAATAATTTAAATAAAATGAACCACATAAATAAACATGTGATCCTTAATATAGACACTGAGGCATTAAAACAATGCTGTTAATGTTTTGTCCCATTGTCTCCTTTGTCATACATCATTAACACTAAAATAAATAATCAAAAATTACAATAAAGCACAAAACTGACAAAGTTGAACATAAAAATGTTTTAATTCTTATAAAATAAGGGAATGGTTGAAAAATATAACTAAAATGAATTCTTGCTTTCAATTAATAAATGCCAGAATAGGATTTCAGACAACCTGAAGAGCTTTATCAATTAGCTCTAATAATGTAGAAATAGATATATATATATAAATAGAACTTTAGTATTAGCGATACATTAACATTAACTCAAGTTTGGCAAAGAAACATTTCCAAACTTACATAAGCAACATGTCAGAGGAAATGGATAAAAGACATCCATGTCTAAGACTTTGGACTTAGAGCATGAAAAAGTAAGATAAATGGTCTAGAACACTATTTCATAAACAGACATCCCAATAACTTTGACAGAAGTTCAAAAGAAAGAGATGGAGAATAAATGTATAAATTCTTCCTCTCTTCTCAGCAATGTTAACTCTGTGTATAGATTGTTCTGTGAGGTCTTGTACATGAGACTAAACATTTAACAGCAATATCCAGGGAGGAAAAAACATTTTAATCTTAAGAATATTATCATAAAAATACCATTAAATAAATATGGCTCAGAAGATTCTATAATACTTTCAAATGGATCTACAACTTGACTATTGGTAGATATTTTTTAAACAGCTATACGATCTTTGATAAGATACTTTAATAAATGAAAATAACTTAAGAGTATTAATGTATCTCAGATTTCTATGCATTTCAGTTTTATTACATATGACAGTATTGTACATACATTTCACAGAATATTTTTATCAGCAGTTGCTAATTTTAAAATCACAGTAAGTTTATAGGTTAGCGCTTTATATATTACAAAATTAATGAAATATTTTAATTATGAATGTGATAACTATTTTAAACATTTAATACAAACTAATCTTTGCTTAATATGCTGTTGATAGTGAACTATTTTAAATATGGATGAAGCTGCTTGAGTTTAGCTTTCCTTGACAATCCAACTCTTAAAGGACCGCAACATGTTTTAAGAGGCTGTATTCTTATAATTCCACTGAGTAAGCAGTTTCCTATATTTAAAAAAACAACATCTTGAAACCATATCATAAGTGTGCGTTTCCATTATCTCTTATCAAATAAGTTCGATGGTAATCTTGTAGAACCCAAAATAAATTTCTAGAACGACAATCACAACAAAGAAAATATTGATGCTTTCACTCCTGAACAGAAAACAAGAGAGAAGTAACTATTCTCATTCCTAGTGAAGCGCAGTAGTAACCGTTTTTCAGATAAATTATTTAGAACATGGAGGCACATATAGGAATGCTTTCCTTTACACAAAAAAATGAAATTTCATCTTTTAGAAAGAGTAAAAGTGGAGTACTAGAGAATCGGCTTTCTCTCTTTTGGTGTGATCTAATTCTCTCTTGATATGCTCAATTCCAGGTGACTGTGGACAACTCCTTGTAGTTTTATTGATAAAATGGAAATGAGTAGAAGTAGTTCTTGACTTATAACAGTCGGTTTAGTGACAATTCGAAGTTACAATGGCACTAAAGAAAGTGACTTATGATTGTTTTTTACACTTACAACCACCGCAGCATCCCCAGGGTCATGTGATCAAAATTTAGCCGCTTGGCAACTGACTCATATTTATGATGGTTGCAGCAACCCAGGTATTGTGATCATCTTTTGTGACCTTCTGACAAGCAAAGTCAATGGAGATGCAGGGATTCACTTAACAATCATGTTATTAACTTAACAACTGCGGTGATTTTCTTAACAACTGTGGCAAGAAAGATCATAAAGTGGGGCAAAAATCACTTAACGTCTCATTGAGCAACAGAAATTTTGGGCTGAATTGTGGTCGTAAGTCAGGGACTGCCTGTAGTCACTTTCCTCTTCTAGGCTGATGTTTGGATTTCCTAGTTAATCCCATTAATCCCATTATTACCCAGGTCCAACCCTGCTTAAGTTTTCAAAGGAATTCGAGATAATCAAGGTAATAAAAAGACACAGTATACTTTTCCAACGCCTAGGAGAAAATGTTCTACTTTTCTATTTTTCTGGTCATTAAGCCACCAAAGGTTCAGCTATTTTTCATCCAGTGAAAAAGCTACAGCTGAGAATGGTCGTCATCATGATTAAGTGCTGTGTGTATTAAAAATATTTTATATCAGCTATATGCCTTCGCTCAGATTTAAATTATGCAGAATGCTATTTCCTTAGTGACAGGGATTTTTTAATCTAAATTTTAGCTAATGGTATGATTAGCTATGCCTCAACAGTTACCTTTGATGTTAAAGCCAGCATTAAAGAAGGGTAACTTTGCCTTTAGGAAAAAAATTAGATGGTTGTGTCAGGCCACATACAATATGCTAGGGAGCAATGAACAGAGGTCAAGCTAGAGCTATATATGTCAGACACTATTCCCTGCATTTTATTATCACGTTTGGCTCAACTATCAATCCATCTGGTTCCAAAATATAAAAAGGAGAAAGGGGATGATTTTGTACACAAATTAGGAAAAACATCCTGGTTCCATTGTACTGAAATTGTAACTATCAATGCCAACTGGGATGAAGGAGAAGTAGAATTTTAAATTTTAAAATGTTTTTCCTTGTTTTCCATTAAATTTATACCTCAAGTTGTTTTTACACTTGCACAAAATTTATCCCACCCCACCCAAAACCAGTTTAAGGGAGCAATTAGAAATCCAAGTATGGCAGGTAAAAATTATCTAGAAAAAGGCTTAATGTTTTCCTGGCTTGCCAATGCCACTTGCCACTTTATAAGTAGTAACACTGAACAAAAATTATATATTTTATGTTATCAGTGTTTGCTTTGGCACAAAGGTAATAAAATGAATAAATGAACAAGATGAATGAAATGAATGAACAAAATGAATGAAAGTCTTTTTCCTCCTTCATTATTTTCCAATCCTCTGCATGTGTTCTGGAGGGTCTTTCCATTCTCAAGAGGAAATCTGTGGATGTGTTGTCAATGGTTTTCTTTTTCAGAATTTTTAGAAAGATTTAAAGTAGACAGAAGATTTTATGGTTTTAAACACCATAAGGCTGAGTATGAAACTGAATTATGTACAACTAATGAACATGTAATTGCTAAAAAATATAAACTTTTATTGACATTTTATTGACAAGTGAAAGAATATGATAAAGTAGACTAAAATTTGTATTTATAATATATAGATGGAACAATGGGAAAATATGTGGTTGAAAGTATTGAAATGTAGAGTACTTCATTATCTGAAAGAGAACTTTTTATAATATGATGCACCATTGGTATATAACATCAGAAAAAAAATATCTAGAATATATAAAGGCACTTCAAACATATTTTGGGAATGTGAACAAAAAGGATGGAATATCATGTTTAATGGATGTGTAAAAAGGCTAGAAAATTTTGTGTTCAAATACACACTGATTCAGAGGATTTTAAAGATTAATATACAATTGAGACCAGAGGTTTTCTTTTGGGATTGATGGATGGTTGGAAAAAGAGTCATGCACTTTGTTTCTGTATATTATAACAGAAGATAAAGATGCACAAAGATGGAAAGATTTGGAACTATCCACAATAGAGGAATGGTTGGTGAAGAAGATGGAACTTGCTGAGATGGCTAAGTTTATTGCTGACTGGAAACCCCTTATGGATTTTTGTGTAAAATGGAAAATATGAATTTATGATTTATGGTTTTATGATTAGGTAGGATAGATTATAGAAAGAAGAGTTGTAACTGTAGAGGAAGAGATAAATATATAATTTATTATACTTATAATTACTGTAAACCTACTTCTTTCTACCTTTTTTTCTTTCTTTTAGTTTTTTTTTACTTTTTTCTCTTTTCTTGCAGTTTTCTATTAGATTTCTTCTTCTCACTTTATATTGTATTAGTTTTTAATCTTCCTTTTAAATGTATCTTATATATACCGGTAGCTGTACAGATGCACAGAGAAGGAGTTCTAGTGAGAGATGGAAGCTATTGATTACAACTCAGTCTATTTATTACATCAGCATGAACTTGAGGAGCAAAGACACAATGGAAAAAAATATTCTAGAACACGTAAGGGACTGGTTTGGACAAAACTCAGCAGCACTTTTTTGTGCGGCTGCTGATAAAAACAGAATCGCCAACATGATCGCCAACGTCCAATAAGGGATATGGCACAAGAAGGAGAAGAAGAACACATAAGAAAAGAACTTGTAGTAAAATTTAGCTATCAAAATTATGCTTCGGGTGGGCAATTACATTAATTTCAGTATTCCTCCAATCTCATTTTTGTAAACTTATTTTTCATTTCATTCACAGAACGTGACACCACCTAGCTACTTTGACTAATCTGAAGAAAAAAAAATCTAAATTATTTTAGTTCTGTTAGTGGGCTGCATGAGAAATCACCAAAAACCTCAGGATTATAGACAATATAATCTGTCCTCCCAGCTCCATAAGAGATCATAAACTTCCTAAGAAAATTGAACTTTCAACTCAGCAAAACACGTTGATCAAGAAAGATACTGGGCAAAGAAAAAAGATTAAAGTGAAAATCAAGAAAATAGATGATGGGACTTACCAGAGAGAATATTTAAAAAGGAACCATTTTTTGAATTTGGTTAAAGAAATAGAAAAGATTTGGAATATATATGTCATTCCAAGAGGGATGAATTCCCTAAATAATATAGTATGCTTTCCCCCCCTTTTTTTATTCTATTTCTTGATATGATATATAATATAAAAAAGTTGAAATGGCTTAGATAAAGGAAATGTTTTAGATAGTTAAATGTGATTGAATTTAAGAACATTATAATGGATAAAAATGTTTTGAATAAGGTTTAAAGGACTAGAGGACTAGATGTATTAAATGGAATATTTAAAGATTAAACATATTTTTAAATGGTTAAAAAGAATAAGAAATATTGGAAACAAATATATATTAGCTTAGAGGGATATATATTTCAAGTAGTATGTTATTTTTTATGTTTCTTTACTCTTGCTCTCCTTTCTTTTTTACTATTTTATCTATTCCTTAAGAAATGTAAAAGTGCTGAGATGGTTCATATGGAAAAAATAGGCTTAAATTTTTAAATGTAATTCATTTTTGAGAAATGAATTTTGTGGGAGAAACAAATTTAAATAAGGACTGTAACAGGATCTATGGTAAGGCAACCAGAATGATTGGATAGAAAAGAAATGTTATGTTGATGTGATTATTAATTTTAGGAATATTGGGAAAAATTATATATTTAACTGTTATCTATCAAAACAATAAGAATTGTATTAACTCAATGTTTGCAAAAGAGGACATTTTGGGGAAAAGAGGAAATCAACTAAAACCATTATGTGGATTATGGATTATAGAAATCAATTGTTAATGATTGTTTAACAAATGTAAACCCAGACAACACATTGTTCACCAATTAAGTGATTTATGTTTTAAAAAAAATCAATAAAATATATTACAAAAAAAAAGAAAATTGAACTCCTTGGGCAATCTCCCTAATAAGATCATTTTAACTTCCACCACAAACAAGAACATAAATAATAATTCCAAATGGCATACTTTGTCACCAGACTGTAACTTTATACTCACACTGTCTTTGCAATAATATGTACCTGCAAATCAGTGGCAAAGCCATGGATATACAAATGGCTCCTCAATATATCAACATCTTTATGACTGACCTAGAACAAAGCTTACTTAACTCTTATCTCCTAAAACCTCTCCTTTACTTGTGATTCACTGATTGCATTTTCATAATCTGAATGCATCAAAGTTAATAACTCTTCAAATTCTATCATGAATTCAATATCTTCTACCCCACAAAAACCACAGCCTAGATCTATCTACACAACATGTCCATTCATTTGATATCATTGTAAAACTACAAAACAGACACATAAACGCAGATTACAGACACAAACTACAGATTCCTTAATGCACTTCCTTTAATGCAGTATATGGCAACAACTGCTATATCCCCCTTTGGATAACCAGTTTAAATTATATATCAGTCCAGCCATTCTATGTATCTGATAAAGTGAACTTGACTCACAAAAGCTTATGCTTTTTAATAGAATTAATTAATCTACCAAAACACCTACCGGTAAATTTTTGTTGTCATAGACTAGCATGGCTTTTCTCCTACAATCTCAGAAGAAGATAAGAGCAAACCATTCATGTGTTTTAAATAAGAAAACTAGATAGGACAGTATATGAAATCACAAGTTTTGAACTTGATTCAAGAGTGTTTTTACCATCCTTTAGTTAGACACTGTTTTTTTTTTTAGTTTTAGTAAAATGTTGTTTGAGTTAAAATGGTATTCATATTAAAGTGTGTGAATTCAAGTTCACTTTGGAACTCCAACAAATCAACCCTAAATTCACATAAATTGAAAAATGTTTACTGCATAAATTAAAGTAAAATATAAATATATAAAAGTGAAAACCTTTAAATGCTAAATTATTATAAGGCATAACTTACCTCTTTCTGTTGTTAAATTATAGCTTCCTTCTTTCATGAATGTTTGAGATACGAATGCAGGTTTCCAAGAGAAAGATTGTTTACAATGAGCACGTTCTTAAATTTGAAAAACAAATTCACAATAAGCATTATAGCTATTAATAGATCAATTTGAACTTCACTATATTCTATACACTAGATCTACAATGTAGCCACTATGTAGTAAAATATTTCCTAGCTTGATATAATAAATATAAAATGTAGATTTTATATATTATATACTTAATGTATTTGATCTAAAATATTGCAACTACACTAAAAAAAATACCTGATGCTTTATTACAATTTTCCACTACAGTGTTGATGTATTAACTTTTACCAAACCTGATTGGCTACTACAAATTAATGTGCCAAGCATGGCTTATAATAATGGTTTGCACTGGATCCCCTTTTCTTTCTTTTTTCTGCCAATGTGATCTGAACAGCATCATGCAGCTGACTGAAGATGCAATTTTAATATTTACAATGCTTCCAGTATAGTGTTGCTTTGTGGAAAATGTTACTATCATCATTCAATGTCCCAATGGTTTTGTTACTAATCAACAGTAGTACCTATTGCCATCCAAAATTAAAGCTACTACTACCAACGTCTTCACAAGTATATTTATAACAAATATTTAGATTTGAAAGAAATCTGTGATCTTTTTTATAGTGCAAACATATGCAGTAGAAACCCAGTACTATTACATAAAATCATCTGACTTGTATATTTTGGAAATAATTTACTTACCTTCAGAAGATGAACAGAACAATTCTTCATCTGATAGATTTGAACTGGAGTTGTGGGATATCTCTTGCTCTCCAAATTGTATGTTCTGCTTAAATGAACTTTTTTTATAGCTATTTTGCTTTACCCCAGAAGTACAACTCATAGCAATACCAGTTGTGGAAATGGTGGGATTTTGATTAATATTTCTGCTAACTTGATCTGGTATGTTGTGAGAACAATTTAGTACATGAGGTTCCTTTTCAAGAATATTTATTCCTGTTTGTGACTGGCTATTTTGGTTTTCCTTACTAATTTCATTGAACATACGAAGCTCTTCCAGTACTAAATCAAATTGATCTCTTCTGTTAGTTTCTGAAGAAAAATGCCTTTCTGCTGAACCTTCAAAACCTTTTTGTTTTATGGAACATGAAGCTGTTAATCTGTCTACAGAATTAACAGACTTTGCACATTCCTCTTTGAAATAGAGTTCACATAAATTCTGAGGCTGATTTCTTTTGTTTACATAGCTCTCAGCAATGGCACGTTTTGTCTTATTTTCTTCCTCAGCAGTTTGGTTTATACATAGTATTTCTGACAAAATTGTGCCACTGAACAAAATATTGTTACTACCCCAAAAGTTCATATTTTCTATTGCTTTAGCTTTGGGTGCCTTAAAGATATTTGAAATCCATGTAGTTTGATATTGGCATTGTAAAATACTCTTAAATTTGTCAAATTCAAAGCACCTTGGTTTTGCTGTTTTTCCATACAGGGAAGTTTTACCCTGCTTTGCTTCTACACTAATCGCTATATTTTGGGTTAGACAAAGGTTATGAAACATGTTGGGAGAAAAATATTGGTTAAAATGTGGAAAATGTTTAAAAAGTCTTTTGGAAATTGGAAAAAAATTACCGCTAATTCTGTGTTTTAGCCACTGCCTGTCTTTGAAATATTGAGACATCTTACTTTTGCTATCTTGTTTTAAAAAACAACTATCATTTGTATATGCCTTGAGTGGCGCACAAATGTAAGTTAATGTTTCAGAATGACTGCTAGTAAATTCTTTATCAGCAGTTATGTATGGTTTGCTGTATTTTTCATCAGTAATTATTACATCTCCCAGGACTGAAATGTGTTCTATTTCCTCTGAATAAGAACTGAGGCAAATTTTCTTATATGTATCAAGATGAGATTTTCTATCAACAAAATCATATGGATTATTTTTGTCATGCTTATGATTATTATATTGTGTTTTGTTCATTATTTCTTTACTACATGTTTCTATATATTTTGGGCCATGTTTGTTATTATTTGCACAATTAATGTTAAATATTCTAAATATTCTCTTTTCACATTTGTTATGTGCTCTTAAAACAAAATAATGTTTACATTTTTTAGAAGAAAAATCACTGGTTCGATTGCAAGTTTTTCTATTTTTCTTTAGTACAAATGGTTCCACTGTAACTATTTCAAGTTTAAAATCTTTAGCTGTTGACTTTTTAAACATGATTGGAATTAAAATCTGATAATTTAATAATCTAAAACTATCTGCCAAATTGTAGATTTTTTCAAGAATATTCAAGCTTTCTTCCCCTAAAATATTGAAATTTTTACTTTCACTATTTTGATTATTAGAAAGTATTATTTGGTTTGTTGTTTGTTTTTTTCCATAGCAAAGCACTGAAACTATATTATCTTCCCTAATATCTGTAGGACATAAGAGCCATTCTTTTGTGTCTTCTTCATTAGATTTTTCTGTGTGTTGGTAATTAATTTGACTTAAGCAGTTGTGGACTGGAATACCATTTTCTATTATAGTGCTGAAACGATCTGTTCCTTTACTTTGTAAAAACAGCTCAAAAGCAATACCATTTGCTAATTTAAGATTTATTCCACATTTTTTTGAATAAAATGTATACATGTGCTGAAATATTTTGTTTCTTCTGAAATTTTTCTTTCCAGAATTTTTTTTTTGCTTTTTGTAGGATAAAATATCACTGTTCTTATGTAAAATATTCTTATAGTTCAAATTCTTAAATTGCAAATAGAACTTTAAGACTTCTTCATCACTATTTTCATCACTTCTAACTGGTTTTGAAATAAGATGTTCTTCTGACTGTAACATTTTACATGCATGACAACAACCTGGGCCCTTTTCTTTATTTTGAAATTCTGGCACATCTCCAAATAAAGATTCTATTCTTGCAATAAATTTTTCTGCCAAGATAATATAAAAAATTATATCTCTTGTTGGCCATTCACATACCTTTGCAATACTAGCAGTCTTTGCTGTTTCACTTTCTTTTGCATATGAGACCAAAGATTCAAGTTTTATAAAATCTGAATTATTTTTCTTTAACTTGCAAGCAGCATTCCTAAGAGTAGTACAACTATTAGCAGGCCATTTTCCAATGTATGGAATATTTTCTAACAATCTGGACTGTAAACTGGAATTCATATACATCTTGAAATTTGCACGTTGTCTTACACTGGTTTTTAGATTTGTACTGCTTTTCTCTTGTAACTCCAAATTATGCTGACTAAAATTCCATAATATTTTAGGAAAACAGAGAAATTTATTTTCTGATTTTTTATCTTTACTGCATACTTCAAATAACTGCTGCTGTCCCTTCTGAAAGATCACTTGATTGCTATCAATTTTAAATTTCTTTGGATATGGTTCTTCTGTTTCTTCTGGTGCGGCTAAAATTGTTTTTAAACTAGAGTCTTCCATGATGATTTGTCAAAAACAAAATGTGGAAGTTCTCTGTTCTGTAATGTTAAAAACTGGCACAAGAAATTAATGCATTAGTATTCTAAAGGAATCTACCAGAATTTAATGTCATCTTTCAAAGGCCTGTTTTGGGTGCCCTTCTGTGCTGAACTACAGTGAATGGCTATCTGAGATTGGGCCTCTTTAATGATATCTCCCCTACTTCTGAATGTCCTCACCAGTGAGATACAACTATCGCCTGAAAGGTTTCCCAATCAGAACGCATCAATAAATCCGAGATCTCTTGCTACTTCACAATTTTACTTGATTATTAGGCTTAACTAGGCAGTAGACTCTCTGCTAGGTTTGGTCAAATTAGAGTCAGTATTGTAGACTAGAATGTAAATCATATACAACAGCAATCATCCACAGCCAGATAAAATGACAATTACACCTTCAGGGGTTTCAGATCTAGCTTTTTTCTCACTTCTTTCCAAATTAATGGATGCTTGGTACAATACAATACTTGGCAGCCTTGAAGTCAAGTGGTTGTTGAATGGCTGTTCTGACCTGGAATCTCCTTCACTCCTAGGTTTATAGTACTTTCCTTTTTGGTACTAAATAAAAACATAAATAATATAGTAAAATGTAATGTATCTTAACGATGTGCATATTATATAATAATGGCTTTTATTCTCTCTTTTAAAGAATTATGTTTAAGATTAGCTATAAATCCAAACATTAATAAGTAATAATTATATTAATATAAAATGACATTTTAAAAATTGTTTTTGTCAAACATTTATACTATTGGACTAGTTTCTGAATCATCAGTTTTACATTCAAGTAAATTATACACTTTAGAAAATAACAATAGTATTACTGTATCAAGAAATTATCTGTATAAAGTTAGGCTTTTTATCCTAATCAGTAAAATGTACCTGCTAATGCATATGATTAGGATTGGATTGATATCAAATTCAAATAAAAATGCTCTCATTCATGTCTCTAATTACATCCATTTTTTAATCCAAAACGACCGTACATTCATTTTATTATTATTACAGTTCTATCCTACTTTAAAAAAAAAAACAGGTCATCTCAAGGCATCAAAAATACCTAATATTCCTGCCTCCTATTTTCCACAAAACAACCACCCTGTGAGATGGCTTGGGCGGAAAGAAACTTGCCCAAAATCATTCAATGGTTTCATACCTAAGGGAGGCCTTCTGGTTTGTAGGCCAGCACCTTAACTGTTACACCTAACTTTAATTTAATTAAATCTTAATTTAATTTAATATTTAATTTAATTTAATTGATCTAATTACATTTTTATGTCAGATACGAAGAGCAGCTAATTATAATTACTTTCTATTTATCACATTACAGTGAAAGAACTTACAAAATTAAAGTGCTACAGATAAAAGCTGAAAATAATTTGAAAACTTAGAAATTTCTACTTTGGACAAAACGTTTATCATTTTTTTCTTGCTGTTTTAGAAACTAGAAACCAATGAAAGAAAATATGAGGACTTTCTAAATACATAAATAAAATATTTCATTTAAGGTTATTATATACAAATTCTCTGTATATAAACATTGGTGCAAGGCTGCAGAGAGAGCATCACTAGATGATGGATATACTGTAGATCCAAATTTCTCTGATAAATTACAGAGTTATTTACAACATAACACACTCTTTTCTTTTCAAACCAGATATGCTATATCATGATCACGTAGAGAAAGCTTTTCAAATTATTCAGTCTTCTACCTGAAGGTATTCCAATATTTAAAAATTGTTCAAGTTAGGAATTCAAGCTTAAGATCTTTATTTTATTTAGTAACATGCTGTGTTTCTCAAAACAGTGTCATTATATATCCAAGGCTTAATGCAGTAGCCATGCCCTTTGAATAGTTGTGACTAGCTGCCATTTTAAATCTAACAGCCCTCCAGTATCACACAACCTATCAGGCTGTTTAATCTTAAATTGTTTAGTGCCAGATACACAAGGAAAATTTATCCAATTTATTTTCAGAGCCCCCGAATCTGGAACCAGGTCAGAGAATCTGATACTCTAATACAGTGTTTCTCAGCTTCAGCAACTTTTAAGTTGTATGGACATCAACTTCAGTTAAAATCCACACATATTAAAATGGATAAAGTTAAATAACACTTGCCTTAATATTCTCTATCAACACATATCAGATGATAAAAAGGCTGTTTCCAGGTGTTTTGTTTTGGGTGTTTTAGGGTGAAAACTAATTTTGACCTGTAAAAAAGATGGAGGTTGTTAAAATTGCTGGGAAGCTAAACTACACAAGAGGAACATGAAATTCCAATGAGAAAAAAAAAAAAGTAATAAAAACTGGACTAGAAGGATAACCCTTGAGCCAAAAAGAAAAAGAGCATGTTTAAAATGTCAAGGACATCTTTCCAATACAAGCTATTGTTCTGATGGTTTGGCACTAAAAAGGAGCTATTATCCTACTCAGTAAATTGTTCAGGGTTTTGTTCTGTGTTGCTGTATTTTAATGCTGTGCCATATTCACTAGAATCATTCCCAAGGCAGTTCTGTAAAAATGCTTACAGGTAACCTGAGCCAACCTTTTAGGTTATTTTAGTTATTTTATTATCTGTCCTAATGTGGAAATACTGAAGAGGCTGTTTCTTCCCAGACAAGGAGGAAGACTTCCTTCTCCCATTTGTTTGTTCCTGAATTACTGGGTGACTGTGCTGCCTTTTATTTGGTTCACCATTAAGGCCAGAGCCTCAAAAGGAATAGGGAGAAACACTTGCCCAGGAGAGAAGGAGGGGTGGTGGTGGTTGGGCTTCCATGTTAATATATATCTGTTGCTATTTTCCACTCTATGTCTAATAAAAGTGGTCCTTATTAAGCGACTGCCTAATAGAGTGACCATTAGCAGATAAAAAATTAACTTTGCAATTAATCCACATGTTTATAACCTTCACAAGTCTGTAGAGCAAAGGAAAGCTAAAGATGATAAACACAAAGTTGCAGTTTCACTTCACAACCACTTCACTTAAAAACTAAGTTGCTGGTCTCAACTGTGGTCACTAAAGGAGTGCTACCTATATACAAAAGAGTCAGCTGGCTGTTCAAGCATAAAAATAAAGCTCACTAGCTACTGTTCTCCTTCTTCAATATTACTATTCTCTCTCTGTGGGACTCAGAGAGCAAACTCACCACATTGCTGAGGTAATTGTGCTGAGGTAATAAAAAAAAAAAGAGTCTCTTGGGAGCTACCGGTATTAAGGAAATTATTTAAACCAGCTTCACAGTTCCTGGATACTCTTGGCTGCTAGATGAGTGACCCAATTCAGAACCTGGTCAGCTAGCTGCCTTTCCTGGTTATGCCATTTTTCCCCTTCCTACTTAGAATACGGAATAACAGAGTTGGAAGGGATTTTGGAGATCTTCCAAGCAGAAGACCCTATATTATTCCGACAAATGGCTGTCCAATATCTTTTTTTAAAAAAAAATCTCCAGTGATGGAGCACCTACAATTTCTGGGGGCAAATCCTTCCACCGTTTAAAAAAGAGGGATCTCTCAATATTATTTTTTTTTATTACATTTATATACCACCCAGCTCCCTATCGAGCCAATCTGAGCAGTTTCCAATATCATAAAATAGTCATTTAAAACCACCAAAACCTTTAAAAACATTCAAAATACAGAGCATTAAAAGTTACAATATTAAAATTAGGGTTGGCAAAGCTGGCTTGTCATTCATCGGTGGACAGCATAGTAAACACAAGCCATCCTAGAACATTCAAAACAGCACCCATGGGCTTCTCAAATGTAATAACAATAATTCATTAGACTTATATGAGGATACCTATGATTATCGGACAATAAAAAGCATAAATCCAATCCTCTGAGGTCCACAACCTGAGAGGATTTGACACCCTGCAATGCCCAAGGAGTATGGCGAAACACCTACAATGGAAAGTTGTATCACAGGCTACCTATGCGTAAATTTATGTACGGAAGTAGAAATGGACATGTTTCCATACTTCTTCAGCGCTACATATAGACCAACAGGAAATATTGGGCAGCAGAGTTGCCTGCCCATAAAGAATTTAAAAAAGGGAATTTTCTTTTTTAACTGAGACCTTCTCCGGTACAGAAACAGTGCTAAATAGCCTCAACCTTCCCCAAGGTGGCGCCCTGCAGGTTGTCGGTTTTCAAATTATAATTTAATGCAAGAAAGCGACGCCTTTCTGCCACCACAGAAAGGAATCATGCTGGAGCAAAATGTCCCGGGCACTACTGGGAGGGGGGGGCTTTGTTTAAAAAAATAAAATGAGAAAAAGCAGTCACGTGAGTAAGCTTCTTGTTTGTACATAGATATTTACCCCTATCTGTTATTGGGGCTAAAGCAAAAGATCCTAACCAGGCCACTGGTTTGCATGGGTGGGTCAGATTTCAACTTTGGAGAGGGGAAAACGGGACTAGACGAACGCAAAGCTTCGTCCAGGCAAGGGAGCGGGACACTTGCAAGGTCCCCTCCCAGCTTTTCAAGCCTGCGGAACGAGATTCGTCAGCAGGGGCCGTCCGGGCAGGAATCGTTCCGACTGGGCAGCAATCGGCCTGCATCCCCGTCGGACAAATCCGTCTCTGCAAAAACGCCGCGCAAAAGGAGCTGTTAAAGCTTGCAATCCCACCGACCTCTAAGGACTCCAGTGGGCTTTATTTCTGAGTAGACAAGTTTAGCAACAGGCAAAAGACGCTGATTCCCTTCTTTTCTCGCCGAGTGGAACAGACATAAAGAGAATCCTTTGCCTTGAAAAGTCTGTATGAGTTTGATGGGTTTCCTTTCAAGGTGTACAGAACATTGCAGTGGGTTTATTTATATTTATAAGCGCCGCACTCTTCGATTACATTTGCCTGCCCGCGAATATATTTTCTATATTTACACTAGTCGGCATGTTTGCTTGTTTCCTTAAAAAAAAAAGGAAGTTTGCTTTTTTCTGCCTTCAGAGAAAATTGTTGGGGTGAAAAAATGGCAAAGGCTTCAATAAATCTATTTGTGTACACTTTCTTTCCCACACGCTTCACTGTGCCTCAGTGGGACTTATATTCGAGAAATGCACAGGATTAGGTTGACTGAAGAATCGGATTCATTATTTAATATGTTAGCTCGACTGAACCTGAAAGAAGAGATAATCAGAGAGTCCACTCCATGAACAACCTCTATTTTGCAGGTGTTTTGAGACAAAGAGAGAGGCGGGTCTCTAAGGTGGTTAATATTACTCTTTTTTGATTCTGCAAGGAAAAAAACCACTAAAGTAATGGCACTGTTTGAAGGTACATTTGTAATTGAAAAAGCATTAATGAAGAATAATGAAAGATTGGAGAGTATCATTTAATCCAAATCTCTATTTATTATACACTTAACCAAGCTTTTCTACAAACGAAGGGGCTAAAATAAAAGGCCTGGAAAACTGGTATGCAGTATTTTGAATTATCGTGAAAGCCCCTTTCCCCTTCACAAACTACAGCAGGTATTTAATACAAATAACTCACTCACTTTATAGGTAGATGTGTAGAGGATTGCAGCCTTAAGATTGTTTCAAAAACTAGTG